AGTCTACTTTGATTTTGGTTAAGGTAGATTATCATTTACAGTGTAATCAGTGAGGGGATTCTGCAGACTGTTGAGGGTTCAACCTCCTGATGAGTCGGTGAAACTCCGACAAAATAGTTTGTCACAGCCCCTCGTTTGTTACCCTGTTCTCTCGCTCTGCCTACGGTTTATCAGGCAGTACTGTTTGTGACGATATATATATATATATATATATAAATATATATATACTAACGTCGTCGACATTCAGTTGTTCTCATAAATAATATTACACTCTTATTTTATAATCATGCTCTGTCGTCTATCACATATCTAACAATGTTTGTGTACGACGTCGGTAGGTGCATACTATTTTATGGTTTTGCATATCCGTTGCAACACGTAAATGTAGGTACCAACCGACCACAAAAAATGTCGTCTGAAACTAAAAAGTTACTCACAGTTCACAATTTGAAAAATAATATGCTCCGTCGTCAGCATTAAACACTTCTCATAAATGATATTACTCTCTCATTTTATAATCATCCTTAGTCGTCTACTATCACGTATCTACCAGTGTTTACGTATGTGGTCGATAGGTGCATACTATTTTATAACTTATCATAGTAATTGCAACACATAAATGTAAGCACGAACCAACTACAAGAAGAATCGTCTGGAAAAAAAAAAGTTTTTTACGCTTTATAATTAAAAAAATATTATGCTTCCAAAACGTCCGTCAACGTTCCTAAGAAACAGAAATATTTGAAAATAAATAAAAACTCACTCACGTGATTAAAAAAAAAAAGAGTTTTTTACTTCAAAAAAATATTCTCTACCTTTCTTGTTCATTTGTTAACTCCGCAGTGGCACAAGTATGTTGCGAGACAGACGCATATCGATTTGATATTACACTTATTCAATTACACCTAAATAAGAAGGTCTACAATGACCATGGTGGGTATTATAGAGAATGTGTGTGATTTTGTGATATGAGAAACAAACTTCAATATATCCTTTAAGAGAGAAAGAGAGAGAGAGAAAGAGAGAGAGAGAGAGAGAGAGAGAGAGAGAGAGAGAGAGAGAGAGAGA